TCTAGTTCCTCCTTAGCCATGAAAGCTGATTGCTCAAGTATTTGAAGGATACTGAATAGAATAGAATAGAATAGAATAGAATAGAATAGAATAGAATAGAAAATATAGAATAGAATTAGAATAGAATAGAATAGAATAGAATAGAATAGAATAGAATAGAATAGAGAAGAATAGAATAGAATAGAATAGAATAGAGAAGAATAGAATAGAATAGAATAGAATAGAATAAGGGATAGAATAGAGCAGAATGAGGGATAGAATAGAAATAAGGAATGGAATGGAATGGAATAGAATAGAATAGAATAGGATAGGATAGGACAGGACAGGACAGGACAGGACAGGACAGAACAGAACAGAATAGAATAGAATAGAATAAGGGATAGAATAGAGAAGAATGAGGGATAGAATAGAAATAAGGAATGGAATGGAATGGAATAGAATAGAATAGAATAGAATAGAATAGAATAGAATAGAATAGAATAGAATAGAAAATATGGCATGGCATGGCATGGCATGGAATGGAATAGAAATAGAAATATATAGAAATAGAAAAGAAATAGAAATAGAAAATAGAATAGTCCTGGACAAGAACAAAACTCCTCACCAACTATAGATAGTCCTCAACTTAAAGCAGTTTGCTTAGTGGCCGTTCGAAATTATGATGGTGCTGAAAAATCGACTTATGACCATTTTGCAGCATCCCCATTTGTCACATACAAAACCCAGACACTTGGCAAGTGGCTCATGTTTACGACGTTTGCAGTATTTCCCCTTTTGCGACCTTCTGATAGACCAGTGGTTCTCAACCTTTTTAATGCTGCGACCCCCAACCGGTCATAAGTCGAGGACTACTCAACTGGTGCAGCACCGTTTGCAGACTGGGACTTTTGGCGGGCTCAGCAGGGCAGAGACAGCCTGGACAATTCCTATTGGCTTTTGAAAGCCAATAGAATTAGACTCTATTCAAGAGAGTCTATTCTATTGGCTTTCAAAAGCCAATAGAATAAAAGGGAGTAGCACAGCTAAGGAAAAGGGGGAAAAAATGGTGGACTGCGTTGTTTGGCGACCCCCGTGAAATGATCGTTCGGCCCCAAATGGGGTCCTGACCCACAGGTTGAGAACCACTGTGATAGACAAAATCGTGGGGGAAACTACAGTCACTGTGAGAGGGATCTGGGAGTCCTAGTGGACAATCACTTATTTATTTTATTTATTTATTTATGAGACTTATATACCACTTTAAGTGCAAGCACTCTCTAAGCGGTGTACACCAGTAAGCAATGTGTATATATATATATATCCCCAACAATACCTACCCTGGAAGGATGGAAGGCTGAGTCAACCTTGAGCCGGTGAGATTTGAACCTCTGACCTGCTGAACACAGTCAGCTAAAGTGGCCTGCAGTACTGCACCCTAACTGCTGCGCCACCTCGGTTGCTGGAATTGGGTAGGTCTAGTTTAATGAAGAGAAGGACGAGGGGGGACATGATAGCAGTCTTTCAATATCTCAAGGGCTGCCCCAAAGAAGAGGGAGTCAAGCTATTCTCCAAAGCGCCTGAAGGCAGGACAAGAAGCAACGGATGGAAACTAATCAAGGAGAGAAGCAACCTAGGAGAAACTTCTTGAGAGTTAGAACAATTAACCAGTGGAACCACCTGCCTCCAGAAGCGGTAAATGCTCCAACACTGAAAGTTGTTAAGAAGAGACTGGACAGCCATTTGTCTGAAATGGTATAGGGTTTCCTGCCTGAGCAGGGGGTTGGACTAGGTGACCTCTAAAGTCCCTTCCAAGGTTGGTGTTAGTTGCGAAGTCGTGTCCGACCCATTGCAACCCCATGGACCACGTTCCTCCAGGCCTTCCTGTCCTCTACCATCTTCTGGAGTCCATTGAAGCTCACGTCTCCTGCTTCAGTGACTCCATCCAGCCACCTCCTTCTCTGTTGTCCTCTTCTTCTTCTTCCAACTTTATTATTTATTTATTCATTTATTAATTATTATTATTATGGATCATCGCACAGTCAGCCAGATGTTCAGACTGGATTTGGCATTTTGTCTACCTATCGAGTCCTTACCCAGGACCTGGGATAGGCAGATGTGGATGTTTGATGGTATTACAGATATCGTCGCAGGATGGAAGCAGTTCCTAGTAAGGCCGCCTTTTGCAATTGACTAATAGGGAATTTGTCAATGCCAATGGTGTTCAAGTGGTGCTCCAGTTGTTTTGGGATTGCACCCAAGGAGCCTATGACTATTGGTACTACCCTTGCTTGCTTTTGCCACAGTCTTTCTATTTCTATTTGTAGGTCTTTGTATTTTGTTATCTTCTCCAGTTCTTTCTCTTCTATTCTGCTGTCTCCAGGCACTGCCACATCCACTATCCAGACTTTTTTGTCTTTCTTATCACAATTGTTAAATCTGGGGTGTTGTTGTATTTTATTATTATTATTATTGATCATCGCACAGTCAGCCAGATGTTCAGACTGGATTTGGCATTTTGTCTACCTGGGATAGGCAGATGTGGATGTTTGATGGTATTACAGATATCGTTGCAGGATGGAAGCAGTTATTATTATTATTATTATTATTATTATTATTATTATTATTATTATTATTATTATCTTTTATTCATTAAACATGAACCTCAGTCAACTGAACATTCAAATTGGCTGGCACTGATGATGATGATGATGATTATTATTGCTTCACAACCATGTCACTAATTTTAACACGGCAGGGATTCAGTCAACGGGGGGCTAGAAAAACTGTAAAACTCAGGTAACCAACGTCTCCCTTAGCAACCAACGGTAAATTCTGGGCTCAGCTGTAGTTGTTGAGACCTGCCCTGGCACTCAGCGTGCGTCACTCCACTAGGAAACAGGAGACAACTCCTGAACGGTGGGCAAGCAATTAGCAGAAATAAGAGACCTTCCCCAGGGATGCTGCAAACGGTTGCTAGGAAACGGGAGTTAGCTGCTTTTGCATCAAAAGGACTCTGGCAAGAACGATGGAGAATTTGCGACACCCAGTGAGGCAGCTTCATACTGGAGGGGGTTGGCTAATTAAAACTTAATCCCACCTCCTGACACCTGCCCACCAATCTGTCCAGTTCCCTCCTTTGCCATCTGGGATTATAGGTAATCCTCGACTTACGACAACTGGGCCCAAGATTTCAGTCTCTAAGCGAAACAAGTTGTTCAGCGAGTTTTGCCAATTTTACGACTCTTCTTGCCACAGTTGTTAAATGAATCACTGCAGTTCTTAAGCCGGTAACATGGACTTTGCTGGTCCGAAGGTGGCAAAAGGTGGTCACGTGACCCCAAGGCAGTGCGATCGTTGTAACTACGAGTCAAGTGTCTGAATTTTGATCAAGTGACCACCGGGAGGCTGCAACGGTCATTAAGTGTGAAAATGGTCATTAAGCCCCTTTGTCGTAACCTCGGTCACTCAATGAAGTAAGTCACAAGGCTTACCTGTACTGGTTTTATTTCATGATTTTGATCTGCTGTGTTTCTATGATGGATGATTTTAATGTTTGTTTTTTAATCCTTTAATGCAGCGGTTCTCAACCTGTGGGTCGGGACCCCATTTGGGGTCGAACGACCATTTCACGGGGATCGCCAAACAACGCAGTCCGCCATTCCCCCCCCCCCTTTTCCTTAGCTGTGCTACTCCCTTTTATTCTATTGGCTTTTGAAAGCCAATAGAATAGACTCTCTTGAATAGAGTCTAATTCTATTGGCTTTCAAAAGCCAATAGGAATTGTCCAGGCTGTCTCTGCCCTGCTGAGCCCGCCACAAGTCCCATTCTGCAAACGGTGCTGCAAGTTGTCTGCAGCGAAGGCGAGCTGTCTGGAAGCTTCCACCCCTCCCTGCTGAGCAACTACTAAAAATGTAAGTAAAAGAGGGCCGGGGGTGGGAGGTGGGCGGGCACAGGGAGGGTTGCTGGCGCATGTGGGGCCCGGCGGGTGCCTTACTTCCTTTGGGCTGGGCCAGCTGGTGGCCCAGCCAGTGGTCGGCCTGCGCCATTGCTGCCGCTTGCCAGCTACGCCTCGGCTGGCACAGGGGGCGGCACCACGCATGTGCGGCACTCCTGGGCAGGGAAAGTCCTCAACTTACAACCCGCTGGGTAGTCCTCGACTTACGACCCGTTGGGGGTTGCGGCATTAAAAAGGTTGAGAACCACTGCTTTAATGCTTTGATGTTATAAGCCACCCATAGGCAATAATAATAAAAAAGTTGGAGGGGACCTTAGCGGTCATCTAGTCCAACCCCCTGCTCAGGCAGGAAACCCTGTACCATTTCAGACAAATGGCTGTCCAGTCTCTTCTTAAGAAACCTCCAGTGTTGAAGCATTCACAGCTTCTGGAGGCAGCTTGTTCCACTGGTTAATTGTTCTGTCAGGAAGTTTCTCCTTAGTTCCAGGTTGCTTCTCTCCTTGATGAGTTTCCATCCGTTGCTTCTTGTCCTGCCTTTTGGTGCTTTTGGAGAATAGCTTGACTCCCTCTTCTTTGGGGCAGTCCCTGAGATATTGGAAACACTGCTATCATGTCCCCCCTTGTCCTTCTCTTCATCAAATTAGACATACCCAATTCCAGCAACTGTTCCTTATATGTTTCAGCCTCCAGTCCCCTGATCATCTTTGTTGCTCTTCTCTGCACTCTTTCTAGTCTCAACATTTTTTACACCACGGTGACCAAAACTGGATGCGGGATTCCAAGTGTGGCCTTACCAAGGCCTTGTAAAATGGTATTAACACTTCACCTGATCTTGATTCTATCCCTCTGTTAAGGCAGCCCAGCACTGTTGGCCTTTTTGGCAGCTGCAGCACACAGCTGGCTCCTATTTAAGGGATCGTCCACTAGGACTCCGAGATCCCTCTCACAGTTACTACTATTGAGCAAGGTACCCCCTATACCATACCTGTACATTTGGTGTTGGTGTTGGATAAGAGCCGGGCAGCAAATACATTTCATAAATAAATTTGCTTTGAGAGGCTGCAGATCGAGGTTCGTTGTTCATTTTATTAGCTTTTTTTTAAAGGCAACAATGAATTGCAACCTGTAATGGAGACATTGGCGCGGTGACAGGAAGCTTTTCCAGGTAGAATTGGGCACCAAGGTGGAGCGTTACCTACCAGCAAAATCAATTCGCTTGAGCCAGCTTTGGCGGGGGGGGGGGGAGGTTGTATACTTATGTGGTTGTGTTGTGCTTGAAGATGGAGGGTAGGCTTGAAAATTTAGCCTCGCTAACGCAACTCTTTCACCCAACTTCCATGTCAACTCCCCAAAGCAAGTCAGCAGCTGGAAGCCTTGGGCCAAATATTGTCCATTAGCTGTTCAATCTCCAGATCAAGGTATTTGGCCACCTTCAAGCTCTCGTTTGAGTTTCTCCACACTCCATGAAGTTGTGGCAAGGGGGGGGGGAATTGAGGGGGCTGGAAGTGAAGAAGACGGGGCCCAGTTTGCTGGTCTACATCCCCACCAAAGTTTTGGCAGCACGTTAACAAAACTCCCTGTACGGAAGGACCATTCCTTTCCACGATAAATTGGAAGGAGCCGTAAACAGGAGACAGGAAGATGTTGGTGACGGGACCTACTACCCTTTTGTAGCCCTACCATGTTTCATTTCAAATTGGTTTGAGATTAAAATCAGGTTAACAGTCCTGATATACAGAATCTTCCCCGGAGGGGCTACATGGCTCACAGCTTTCGAAAAGGGTTCTAGATTTTTAAACACAGCTGATCTTGGGGCACACAACGGTGGATCACCAAATTTACATCCCGGATGGAGCGAATGTAAAATGCTGGAAAGGAAAAAAAAGGGAGAAAGGCAGAGACTGAAAGGATCACTGTGCTGTTTCTCTTTGGGTTTATAGGAAGAGGACCAAAACTGGTGGGCCAGGAGAGAAAATCACTGCATAACAGGCCAACTCTGTCCCACGTCTGGATAAACGTCAGGCGTCAATCTGCTGGGAAAGAGACGCTGAATCTCTGCCGTTGTCACATGAACATATCGTCGTAGTCCGGAGGACGAAGATGGTCGGGATTAGGCCTGAAAGAGGAATGAATGTCAGAGCATGCACAGTCTTATTGCGCGAGATAACCCAGAAGTAAACCCAGTAAACAGTGGTCTTATATTAAATGGTGGTTTATCTTACACTATCTACAATGTTATGCACCAGGAATAAAATACATACACATGCTAATGCAGCAGGATCCAACACACCACAGTTACAGCAGGAAACAGGAGAGAACACATCAGCAGAGCCTTCCCTTTTATACAAAGCTCTTAAAGGGACACAGACCCAGCTGGCTCTTAAAGGGACACAGAGCCTGCTGAGTCATTCACATCATTACATCTTACATTACATAAGCCAGTTAGCTTTTACATCAGTGCCTTGACAATGAAGAATGCTTTAGGGTCAAGGGCTCTCCAAATGTGGCCTTCAACTCCCAGAATTCCCCAGCCAGCCATGCAGAAATATGGATCAGGAAGCAGACCTTCTCTGTGGTGGTCCCCACAACATGGAACAGGCTGCCTCCCCCAAAGGTAACCGTGATTCATCATGTATGGCGATTCCAGAAGACAATAAACATTGTGCTTTAGAAGTGAATATGTGTTGCTCAAGGTTGAACAATGGAGTCCTTGGTGCTCTCGGAGCTGGGTGCTTTTCTTGCAGACGTTTCATGGCTCGGACTAGGTAACATCATCAGTGCTGGAAGGGAGTGGGATGTGTGGAGAGGAGGAGGAGGAGGAGGAGGAGGAGGAGGAGGAGGAGGAGGACGACTGTGGGGTCCTCGGTGCTCTCTGAGCTTGGTGGTTTTCTTGCAGATGTTTCATGACCCGACTAGGTAACATCATCAGTGCTGTTTATATAAACAGTGGACAATTCACTCTCTTCTAGCACTGATGTTGTTATCTAGTTGGGTCATGAAAGATCTGCACGAAAACCACCAAGCTCAGAGAGCACCAAGGACCCAACAGTCCTCCTCTTCCTCTCCACAAACCTGACCCCCTTCCAGCACTGATGATGTTACCTAGTTTGGTAATGAAATGTCTGCAAGAAAACCACCAGGCTCAAAGAGCACTAAAGAGCCAGAGTCTTCTCTGCAAACTCCATTCCCTTCTAGCACTGATGACGTTACCTAGTTTGGTAACGAAAGGTCTGTAAGAAAACCACCCAGCTCAGAGAGCACCAAGGACCCCCCCCCCCAGTTAGTTTATTTATTTATTTGATTTCTATAGCCACCCATCTCAGTAATCGATTCTCAGAAAGATGTACTTTTGTCTTCAAAATATTTTTCATTTTGCTTATTTTTACAATTTTGGGGGGGGGGGGGTTTGCGTACTTTATTTTGATGAGACGGACAGCTAAAATGGGATTAAACAAATCAAATAAATAAAAGGTTTTACTTTACGTTTCGGTTTTGCTTTACTTAACCTTTTTGGCTTCTTTCTACTTTTAAAAGTTTTTCAAATATTTTTTTTGGGGGGGGGGGTCGGCTTTCCAAAATACAGCCAAGGGACCTCTGACCAATACGGTCTTTATGATTTTATTGCAATTTCTACGTTTTTCCCCAGTCCTTGCAAACTCAAGGGGATTATGGTCTTCAATGTGGTTTAAGGACATTTTGGGTTGTTGCTGTTTTTTAATTGATGGTTTAGCACTGAGATGGTTGATTGAAGCAAGAGGGAAAATGCTGTCTAATAAATACATAATCTTAGGATAAATCCTGCAGTTGTGTTTACGTCAGATGCTTAACTCAGATAGGGAGCTAATCGGTAGCCAGCAATCCCAGGCCATCTGGATAAGCTGGGTTAAAACACGCTAAGCCACAAAACTAATAGAACCGATCAAAATTAACCGAGGCCAAGATTAATTGTGGCACCCTGAAGGCAGGTATGCACATAAATTATGGCATCTGAGGTCAAATGCCAAGGTAGTCCTTGACTTACGACTGCAACCGAGCCCAGAATTTCTGTCGCTAAGCGAGGCCATTGTTAAGTGTGTTTTCCCCGATTTTACAACCTTTCTTGCCACAGTTTGTTAAGTGAAACACGATCCCGAGACACTGCGACCGTCGTAAATATGAGTTAGTTGCCAAGGGGCTGAATTTTGATCCCGTGACCACTGGGAGCCTGCAACGGTCGTTAAGTGTGAAAAGCGGACCTAAGTCAGTTTTTTCCCCCAGTGCCGTCGTATCTTCAAACGGTCACTAAACGAACTGTCGTAATTTGAGGACTACCCGTATTTTTCTTTTCATTCCCGTAGGCACATTCCTAAATTTTAAGGCAGAATTTAGATTTAAGTTGTCCTCAACTTACAACCGGTCGGATTAGTGACCGTTTGAAGTGACGACTGACCAAAGAAGAAGGTGCAGGAAGTTCTAGACTTAACTTACAACTATTTGTAAAAGTTTAGCATCCATGTGTGTTTGAAGATTCTCAAAAGGAAGGAAGACATTTTGAAAATCCAATTTTTCTCCAATTCGAGGCAACGGAATTTCCGCCATACTTACTCGCTCCGGCCGGCCCCCGGGGGTCCAAACGGGTCAAACCTGGCCCCGGGGGGAACGGAACCAGGGGGGAGTCTGCTGGGGAGCCCAGAAGAGGGGTCCAGAACAGGATTCCGAAATCCTGACCGAAGCGGATCAAAGATCATTCCTCCTCCGCCTCGGCCGCTGAGCAAGAGAATCGAGAGTGAATTAGAGGCAGTTGGGTCTAGTGGTTAAAGCAGCAGGTTAGAAACCGGGAGATGGTGAGTTCTAGTCCTGCCCGTTAGGCAGGAAAGCCAACTGGGTGACTTTGGGGAATCACCAGGAGACTGGGAGTTCTAGTCCCATCTTAGGCATGAAAGCCGGCTGGGTGACTTTGGGCCAATCACCGGGAGACTGGGAGTTTTAGTCCTTCCTTAGGCATCAAAGCTGGCTGGGTGACTTTGGGCCAATCACCAGGAGACAGTGAATTCTAGTCTGCCTGTTAGGCAGTGGTTAAAGCAGCAGGTTAGAAACCGGGAGATGGTGAGATCTAGTCCTGCCTGTTAGGCAGAAAAGCCATCTGGGTGACTTTGGGTCAATCACCAGGAGACTGGGAGTTCTAGTCCTTCCTTATGCATGAAAGCTGTCTGGGTACGTTTGGGCCAATCACTGGGAGACTGGGAGTTCTAGTTCGTCCTTAGGCATGAAAGTTGGCTGGGTGAGTTTGGGCCAATCACCAGGAGACTGGGAGTTCTAGTCCCATCTTAGGCATGAAAGCCCGCTGGGTGACTTTGGGTCAATCACCAGGAGACTGGGAGTTCTAGTCTTTCCTTATGCATGAAAGCTGTCTGGGTACGTTTGGGCCAATCACTGGGAAACTGGGAGTTCTAGTTCTTCCTTAGGCATGAAAGAGGGCTGGGTGACTTTGGGCCAATCACTGGAAGACTGGGAGTTCTAGTCCTTCCTTAGGCACAAAACCTGGCTGGGTGACTTTGGACCAATCACAGAAGATTGGGAGTTCTAGTCCTATCTTAGACATGAAAGCTGGCTGAATGACTTTGAGCCGATCACTAGGAGATGGAGAGTTCTAGTCCTGCCTTATTCAGGTATGCCAAGTGGGTAACTTTGGGCCAGTCGCCAGGAGACAGTAAATTGTAGTCCTGTCTTAGACATAAAAACCAGCTGGGTGACTTTGGGCCAATCACTAGGAGACGGTGAGTTCTAGTCCTGGCTTAGGCACAAACACTGTCTGCGTGACTTTGGGCCAATCGTTCTCCCACCTCACAAGGTTGTTTTGGGGAAAATAAAAGAAAGAAAATTAGAGTCATCATTTTGAGGCATTTTTTTAAAGTAATCAAAGCGAGCGATGGGTTGCTTGACCATCTGCCCAAAGAAGCTTCTAGCTACCTGAGGAATTCTGGGAACAGAAGTCCACCCATCTGTAAGTCGCTAAGGTTGAGAAACGTGGAAGAACTGTAAAAAAAGGCAACCCTCCACGTGAGGCACCGACTTACCCCAAAGGATCCAGATCTTGTCTGCCGATATCAAACGGGCTGAGTGGATCTGGCCTAAAACAGAACCCAATTTCATTAGCTCATCAGACGTCAGAACCCTTCAATAGGGTGAAATGGAGACCCTCCTTGGCGTTATAAAGCCCTAGCGAGGCCACTCCTGGAATACTGCAGCCAATTTTGGTCACCATATCACAAAAAAGATGTTGAGAGTTTGGAAAAAAATCAGAGAAGATGATCCAAGGCCTGGAGACTAAAACATACGAAGAACGGCTATGGGACTTGGGTTTGGCGGGTTTAAAGAAGAAATAGGGGAGACAGGATAGCAGCATTCCAGTATCTGAGGGGCTGCCACAAAGAAGAGGGGTGGGGGGTCACGTTATTCTCCAAAGCACCAGAGGGAAGGACAAGAAACAATGGATGGAAACTGACCAAAGAGAGAAGCAACCTGGAATTAAGGAGAGACTTCCTGATAGTGAGGACAATTAACCAGTGGAACGGCTTGCCACCAGAAATTGTTGGCACTCTGTCACCGGAGATTTTTAAGAAGAGACTGGACAGTCACCTGTCTGAGATGGTATATAGGTTCTCCTGCTTGAGCAGGGGGCTGGACTAGAAGACTTCCAAGGTCCCTTCCAACTATTCTATTCTATTCTATTCTATTCTATTCTATTCTATTCTATTCTATTCTATTCTATTCTATTCTATTCTATTCTATTCCATTCCATATTTTCTATTCTATTCTATTCTATTCTATTCTATTCTATTCTATTCTATTCTATTCTATTCTATCCTTCCATTCCATTCCATTCACATAGCGTGCCTCTCATCATTCTAGTCCTCAGTGAGGGCCACCGATGCACAAATCAGGTGTGGTCAGCCCACCAGAAGCACAAGGCACTCACCAGTTGGGCTGCCGGCTGCCGTGAGGATGTCGAGGTGGGATCCAGAGAGGGTCGTGGTCAGGAGGGTTGGGTGGGGAGGGGTTCCTCTCCCGTTTCGGCTCTTCCTCCTTAGCGTGGCTTTGCCGCTTCGAGGTTTCAAACGGGGAGATGATGTGATGCACAATCTGGGTCTGCAACTCCTCCACGTTCCGATACACCCTGTCAAAAGGGGCAAGAAAGAAAAAGAGTCACCGGAACGCCCGGAAACACACAGTCCTCGACTTAACGACCATCCGTTTAACGCCGGTTCCAAATTACGACAGCCTTGGGGAAAAAACAGGATTTGTGACCTGTCCTCAAACTTAAACAACTGTCACAATATAGATTGGGCGAGACCCGGCTCAAAAAACAGCCACTGTGAGAGGGACCTTGGAGTCCTAGTGGACGATCACTTGACCCTGAGCCGGCCGTGTGCAGCAGCAGCCAAAAAAGCTAATACAATCCTGGGTTGCATAAACAGAGGCATAGAATCAAGATCACACAAAGTACTATTACCGCTTTATCAAATCCTAGATGGTCACTTGTCTGAGATGGTATAGGTTCTCCTGCTTGAGCAGGGGGCTGGACTAGAAGACCTCCAAGGTCCCTTCCAGCTCTATTCTATTCTATTCTATTCTATTCTATTCTATTCTATTCTATTCTATTCTATTCTATTCTATTCCTCTCTTCTCTCTTCTGTTCTCTTTTCTCTTCCTTTTTCTATTCTATTCTATTTTTCTATATTCTTTTTTGTTTAATTCATATTCTATTCTATTCCATATTTCTATTCTATTCTATCCTATTCTATCCTATTCTATCCTATCCTATCCTATTCTATTCTATTCTTTTCTATTTCTATTTCCATTCCATATTTTTTATTCTATTCTATTCCATTCGATTCTACAATCTATTCTATTCTATTCTATTCTATTTTTCTATATTCTTTTTTGTTTAATTCGTATTCTATTCTATTCTATTCTATTCCATATTTCTATTCTATTCTATTCTATTCTATTCTATTCTACTATTCTATTTTTCTATATTCTTTTTTAATTCTATTCTATTCTATTCTATTCTATTCTATTCTATTCTATTCTATTCTATTCTATCTATTCTATTCTATTCTATTCTATTCTATTCTATTCTATTCTATTCTATTCTATTCTATTCTATTCTACTCTACTCTACTGTATCAAAAAAAGCTAATGCAATCCTGGGTTGCATAAACAGAGGCATAGAATCAAGAAAAGTATTAGCACCGCTTTATAAAAACCTAGTGAGGCCACACCTGGAACACTGCAGCCAATTTTGGTCATCCTATCCCCAAAAAGATGTTGAGAGTTTGGAAAAAGTTCAGAGAAGAGCAATTAAGATGATCCAAGGCCTGGAGACCAAAACATACAAAGAACGGCTGCAGGACTTGGGTTTGGCTAGTCTAAAGAAAAGAAGAAATAGGGGAGACATAATAGCAGTGTTTCAGTATTTGAGGGGCTGCCACAAGGCGGAGGGGGTCATGTTATTCTCCAGAGCACCAGAGGGAAGGACGAGAAACAACGGTTGGAAACTGACCAAAGAGAGAAGCAACCTGCAATTAAGGAGAAACTTCCTGACAGTGAGGACAATTAACCAGTGGAACAACTTGCCACCAGAAATTGTGGGTGCTCCATCACTGGACATTTTCAAGAAGAGACTAGACAACCACCTGTCTGAGACGGCGTAGCTTCTCCTGTTTGAGGAGGGGGCCGGACTAGAAGACCTCCAAGGTCCCTTCCAGCTCTATTCTATTCTACCACTGCAGTGACAGGGTGGCAGGGTGGATGCTTGGCAGTTGGTTCACATTTACGACCAGTTGCCGCATCCTGCAGTCACGTAATCACCTTCCCAGTTGGTTCCCCACCATAAACAACAATTGGATTCAGTGAACAATCACCTGATTTGATTAACGTCTATGGCAGTGGTTCTCAACCTTTTTAATGTCGTGACCCCCCAACCGGTCGTAAATCGAGGACTACTCAACCGGTCGTAAGTCGAGGACTACTCAACTGGTGCAGCACCGTTTGCAGAATGGGACTTTTGGCGGGCTCAGCAGGGCAGAGACAGCCTGGACAATTCCTATTGGCTTTTGAAAGCCAATAGAATTAGACTATATTCAAGAGAGTCTCTTCTATTGGCTTTCAAAAGCCAATAGAATAAAAGGGAGTAGCACAGCTAAGGAAAAGGGGGGAAAAAATGGCGGACTGCGTTGTTTGGCGACCCCCGTGAAATGGTCGTTCGACCCCAAATGGGGTCCCGACCCACAGGTTGAGAACCACTGGTCTATGGGGATTTGACCCTGATAAACACGGCCATCAATTTGATTTTGGTCACTGGATGACTTGCTTTACGATGGTGCTGATTTAGGACAGAAATTCCAGTCTTAATGACGGTTGTAAATGGAGGATTACCCGTAACTTTGAATCCACCTGATTTTTGCCAACGGGAGCCCTACATCCTAGGTCTGCAGGGGGTTTGTTGATTGGACTGACCTAACATGATAACCCTACATGCATGTTAACCAAACACAATTGCAGTGTTAAAGAAGCATGCCATCCTCAAAGTGATACGCCGGGTGACAACATCACAACTTTAATTCACACAACCCTGCAAAATCAGGGGTTTTCTAGCATAGCCTCAAACAGTTCCACCTTAGCAAAATAGCCGGCTGGGTGACTGAGATGATGAGTTCTAATCCTGACTTTGAGCCAATCACCAGGAAAAAGCGAATTCTACTTCTGGCATAAACATGAAAGTCATTTGGGTGGCTTTGAGTCAATCACCAGGAGACAGTGAATTCTAGTCCTGGCATAAATATGAAAGCCATCTGGGTGACTTTGGGCCAATCACCAGGAGACAGTGAATTCTAGTCCTGGCATAAATATGAAAGCCATCTGGGTGACTCTGAGTCAATCACCAGGAGACAGTGAATTCTAGTCCTGGCATAAATATGAAAGCCGTCTGGGTGACCTTGGGTCAATCACCAGGAGACAGGGAGTTCTAGTCCTGGCATAAACATGAAAGCCATCTGGGTGACTTTGAGCCAATCACCAGGAGACAGTGAATTCTAGTTCTGGCATAAACATAAAAGCCACCTGGATGACTTTGGGCCAATCACCAGGAGACAGTGAATTCTAGTTCTGGCATAAACATAAAAGCCACCTGGATGACTTTGGGCCAATCCCCAGGAGACAGAGAGTTCTAGTCCTGACATAAACATAAAAGCTATCTGGGTGACTTTGGGCCAATCCCCAGGAGACCATGAATTCAAATTCTGCCTCGGCCATGAAAGCCAGCTGGCTGAATTGAGGTCCATCATTAGGAGACAATGAGTTCTAGTCCTACCATAGACACGAACGCCGGCTGGGTATAACCCTTGGCCAAATAGGAGGAGGAAGCAGTATTCGGTATGTTCGCTGCTTTGAGTTATTTGTAAAAATAATAAAGGCGGCATATAAATCAAAACAAAGTCCAGGCTTAGACTGCACGGATCCCAGCGAGCCATGCAGCGGTGTGTGAAAAGGCACCATTTTAGGCCAACCCAACATTTTTCAGAGCCCCTCGTTAGATGTGCGAAAAGAACTTCAATCACCTGTCAAAATCGGCCAGATGTTCTGGGTCAACGTAGTCGGTCACTTTCAAGGTGAGATCCGCCACTTTCTGTGTTTTGGGATCCTGGATGGAGAGGGACAGAAAGAACAGGGAAGCAGGAAGCTGAACGCCACGTAGAGTGTCCTAAAAGGCATTGGGAGAACCATGGGGTGACCTGGCAGGTGGCACTCCCAGACCTATGGGTCACTCCCTTCCGGCTTCTGCTCCGGGTTCAAAAGAGACCAAAACCTTTATGGCAGCCAGTGACCAGTCCATAAGAGGTTGATTGCTTTGGGTTTATATCTCCATCAGGAGAAGAGTTAGGTACGGTGGCTTCTGCCCCTTTAGGGGAGCACGGATCAGTGCCCCCCCCCCCCAAAGCAGCCTCACCATGACGTTGAGAATGATGCTGTTGTCCATCAAAATGGCTTTCACCAGCAGGTCGTGAGAATCGTCCTTCAGCCGGTAGCGCAGAGTGTAGAGTTCCTTGTCAGCATTCCAGCCGGCGGGAAGCATTTCCGACTTCCTCTCGTTGGCGCCCGGCTGCAAGAAAACCCCAGGCAGAGGGCCCCGTTAGATGGGGGGCCCTTGGTGCTCTCTGAGCTTGTTTTCTTGCAGACATTTCATGACCCTACTAGATAACGGAATCAGTGCTAGGAGGGAGGAGGAGGAGAACTGTAGGGTCCTTGGTGCTCTCTGAGCTCGGCGGTTTTCTTGCAGACATTTCATGACCTGGCTAGGTAACATCATCAGTGCTAGAAGGGAGGGATGTTTGTAGAGAGGAGGAGGAGGAGGAGGAGGAGGAGGAGGAGGAGGGCTACTATGATGGGGGGGCACTCCTTGGTGCTCTCTGAACTTGGTGGTTTTCTGGCAGACATTTCATGACCCAACTAGGGAACATCATCAGCCTTAGAAAGGAGTGGGATTTGCTGTGTTTATATGAACACCAGTGAATAACAGTTTATATGAAAAAAAATAAAAAATAAAATATAAAATGAAATAAAATAAAATATAAAACAAAATATAAAATAAAAAATAAATAAAATAAATAAAAATAAATATCACCAGTCTTAGAAGGGAGTGGGGTTTGCTTTGTTTATATGAACACCAGTAAATAACAGTTTATATGAAAAATAAAATTAAAAAAATAAAAAATAAAATAAAATAAAATATAAAACAAAACAAAATATAAAATAAAATAAAAATAATAAATAAATAAATAAATAAATAAATAAATAAATAAATAAAATAAATATCATCAGTCTTAGAAGGGAGTGGGGTTCGCTTTGTTTATATGAACACCAGTAAATAACAGTTTATATGAAAAATAAAATTAAAAAAATAAAATAAAATATAAAACAAAACAAAATACAAAATAAAAAAATATAAAATATAAAACAAAACAAAATATAAAATAAAAATAAAACAAAAATGAAATAAAATAAATAAATAAATAAATAAATAAAATAAATATCATCAGTCTTAGAAGGGAGTGGGGTTCGCTTTGTTTATATGAACAACAGTAAATAACAGTTTATATGAAAAATAAAATAAAATTAAAAAAATAAAATAAAAAATAAAATAAAATATAAAACAAAAAAAAATACAAAATAAAAATAATATAAAATATAAAACAAAACAAAATATAAAATAAAAATAAAACAAAAATGAAATAAAATAAAAAATATAAATAAATAAATAAATAAATAAATAAATATCATCAGTCTTAGAAGGGAGTGGGGTTCGCTTTGTTTATATGAACAACAGTAAATAACAGTTTATATGAAAAATAAAATAAAATTAAAAAAATAAAATAAAAAATAAAATAAAATATAAAACAAAACAAAATACAAAATAAAAATAATATAAAATATAAAACAAAACAAAATATAAAATAAAAATAAAACAAAAATGAAATAAAATAAAAAATATAAATAAATAAATAAATAAAATAAAATAAATAAATAAATATCATCAGTCTTAGAAGGGAGTGGGGCTTGCTTTGTTTATATGAACACCAGTAAATAACAGTTTATATGAAAAATAAAATAAAAGAAATAAAATAATAAAATAAAATATAAAATAAAATATAGAACAAAACAAAAAATAAAAATAATAAAAATAAAGTAAAATAAAAAAATAAATAAAATGAATTTCTGAAGCATTGGCTGGAAACATTCCTTAAGGTTTTGTCACACCCCCTCCCCCCCATCAAGGCAGTCCTGCTTAGTGGTGACCCCTGAAATATGGGCTCCCTTCTCAGAACCGGCACCTTCTTATTATGGGATTTTTTGCAGAGCTGTAAAGATTATTTTCATATTTCAGGTGGTTAGTTTGCAGTTTGGAAAACTGGGCCATTTTGTGCAATATGGATTTTATGTGGACAGGGCTGTGGTTTTCATATTTCAAATCTCTAGCAGTGTGTCACTTTAAAATATCTGGACTTCAACTCCCAGAATCCCTCAGCCAGAAATGCATTCTGGGAGCTGAAGTCCAGACAAGTTAAAAGCAGCTCAGATCGAAAAGCTTTTAGATCAGGGCTCTTCAAACTTGGCCCTTTTATGACTTGTGGATTTCAACTCCCTGAATTCCTCAGCCAGATAGATAATTATCACTAAATGTAGCATGCCTGGCTGAGGAATTCTGTGAGTTGAAGTCCACAAGTCATCAAAGGGCCAAGTTTGAAGACCCCTGGTTTAGGACTACATACCTGTATTACATTCTTTATGAGGGGGAAAAAAGCAGAAATCCTATCCTTGTTCTACATTTAATGATAATTACCTCTCTTCCAGCCACGGAGCCACAAAGTCGCCAACAAAAATCTGAACTAGGCCTCTATCTACTCTTTTCTTCCAGAATGTTCCTTCAAGATTTCCTAAAAATACTCATACCTGCCTTATATATTCTATAGATCAGGGGTCCTCAAACTTGGCCCTTTGATGATTGTGGACTTCAACTCCCAGAATTCCTCAGCCAGCAATGCATTCTGGGAGCTGAAGTGTGCTAAGGTTGAGAAACAACAACCCAGATCCTTGAGTTCCTTCATAGTTTCCACTCTTAAACCTTATCTATCACCTGAAGTCTTGAGAACTGGATGGATTGCTTAAATTAATTAATTAATTAATATCTCAGGGGCTGCCCCAAAGAAGAGGAAGTCAAGCTATTCTCCAAGGTGCCTGAAGGCAGGACAAGAAGCAACGGGTGGAAACTAATCAAGGCGAGAAGCAACCTAGAACTAAGGAGAAACTTCCCGACAGTGAGAACAATTAACCAGTGGAACCACCTGCCTCCAGAAGCGGTGAATGCTCCAACACTGGAAGTTTTTAAGAAGAGACTGGACAGCCATTTGTCCGAAATGATGTAGGGTTTCCTGCCCGAGCAGGGGGTTGGACTAGATGACCTCCAAGGTCCCTTCCAACTTTGCTGCTACTACTACTATTATTATTATTATTTTATGTACTGCCCATCTTCTCCATAGGGCAATTACCGGATAGTAGGTAGACGGATGCCTTTATTAATAATCGACAAATTAATCAATGAAGGAGAATATTCTTAGCTCAGGGCTGACATGAGGGGTCCTTGGTGAACTCTGAGCTTGTTTTCTTGCAGACGTTTCGTGACCCAAACTAGGTAACGTGATCAGTGTTAGAAGGGAGTGGTATCTGTGGAGAGGGGGACAGGGAGGAGGAGGAGGAAAAAAAACTACGGGGTCCTCGTTGCTCTCTGAGTTGGCTATTTTCTTGCAGACGTTTCACGACCCAACTAGGCAACATCACCAGTGCCACCGGAGTGAGGATGGCTAGCACGGATGACGTTCCCTAGTTGGGTCATGAAACGTCTGCAAGAAAACCACCCAGCCCACAGAGCAACAAGGACCCCACAGTCCTTCTCCTCCTCCTCCCAGCAACCCCCCTCACTTGTAGCACTGACGCTGTTCCTTAGTTGGGTCCCAAAAACGTCCGCAAGAAAACCAGCAAGCTCAGAGAGCAACAAGGACCCCACAGTCCTCCTCCCAGCAACCCCCCTCACTTGTGGCACTGACGCTGTTCCTTAGTTGGGTCCCGAAACGTCTGCAAGAAAACCAGCAAGCTCAGAGAGCACCCAGGACCCCACAGTCCTTCTTCCTCCCCCTCCTCCTCCCTTCTAGCACTGATGGTGTTCCCTAGTTGGGTCCCGAAACGTCTGCAAGAAAACCAGCAAGCTCAGAGAGTCCCCAGGGACCCCTGGTTGACCACTGAATTTCATCAAAACATAAAATAAAATAAAATGAATTAAAAATGAAGACACCGTTTCCGTTTCGTTTTTCTTAAAAAAAAAGTCCAAAAGAATGCACTCCATTATCCCACCCCTCTCCAACACCTTCCACGCCACCCCCCACCCTCCCCGGAATGCAAGGGGGGGAAAGGGGGGGGAGAGAGGGCAAGGCAGGAGTTGCAAACGGGCGCCCGCGCGCGGCGGCCTCCTTGCAGCAGCCCTTTCCGCGCGCTGCCCCGGACGGATCTCGGCCTGCGCGTGGGCTTAGAGAGTGGGAGGGGGCGTGTGTGTGTGTGTGTGAGTGGGGGGGGTCTCACCTGGTCCCCGGGCCCGAGGCAGCGGTAGTCGCGCGTGATCAGCTTCCAATGCACGAAGCAGAGCAAGGCGTCCTGCGCGCAGCCCAGCTCGGGCGCCACCGAGGTGTAGAGCAGCTCCAAGCCGGCCATGGTGCCTCCTCCTCCTCCGCCGCCGCCGCCTGCAAAACAAGGGCTCGGGAAGGAGACGAAGGCCCGGCTCAGACCCGCCTCCTCGTCCGGGAAAGCGAAAGTAGCCGACGGGGAAGCGCCCCCGCCCCGCCCCGCCGCTCCGCCTTCCCCGGCGCGCAGCAGAGCCATCAGCTGGGCTGGTGCGAGGAGTCTCCTCCCCGCCCCCGCCCCGGCTGAGACTGCAGCGCCCATGCTCCGCAGCCCGGCCGGGGGTACGGGGTGGGTGGGTGGATGGGGAGGATGGGATGGAGGTTGCAGCCTGGAGCATCGGGGGGGGGGGATTCATAAAGGGGAAGGGAAGCAACCTAGAACTACGGAGAAACTTCCTGACAGTGAGAGCAATTAATCAGTGGAACTGCCTGCCTCCAGGAGCAGTAAATGCTCCAACACTGAAAGTTTTTAAGAAGAGACTGGACAGCCATTTGTCTGAAATGGTATAGGGTTTCCTGCCTGAGCAGGGGGTTGGACTTGATGACCTCCAAGGTCCCTTCCAACATCATCATCATCATCATCATTATTATTATGGATCATTACAGTCAGCGAGATGTTCAGACTGGATTTGGCATTTTGTCTACCTATCGAGTCCTTACCCAGGACCTGGGATAGGCAGATGTGGATGTTTGATGGTATTACAGATATCGTCGCAGGATGGAAGCAGTTCCTAATAAGGCTGCCTTTTGCAATTGACTATAGCGAATTTGTCAATGCCAATGGTGTTCAAGTGGTGCTCCAGTTGTTTTGGGATTGCACCCAAGGAGCCTATTACTATTGGTACTACCCTTGCTTGCTTTTGCCACAGCCTTTCTATTTCTATTTGTAGGTCTTTGTATTTTGTTATCTTCTCCAGTTCTTTCTCTTCTATTATTATTATTATTATTATTATTATTATTATTATTATTATTATTATTAAGGTTTGTAGCCCAGGTTGAACTATGGGGGGCACTTGGGGCTCTCTGAGCTGGGAGGGCTTTCTTGCAGACGTTTCGTGACCCAACTAGGGAACGTCATCAGGGCTAGGAGGGAGTGGGGGGTGTGGAGAGGAGGAGGAGGACTGTGGGGTCCTTGGTGCTCTCTGAGCTGGGTGGTTTTCTTGCATATGTTTCATAACCCAACAACAGTCGTGGACAAAATGGTGGAAACCTTTTGGGAAAAGTGTATTTTTGAGGTTGGATGGCTAATAACGCCACTTTTTTGGGGGGGGGAGTAGTGCCATAAAATTGTATACCAATGGAAAGATCATTTAATCAAGAATGTAATGCAACATAGTTTGTTCCATGATCTGTACTGTGTTCTATGAAAAGGTATAGCCAAATAAGCAGAAAAAGGAAGCACAACTTGCTTAAAAGTTGATCTCAGGGAGCTTTCCTTCATCCGATTGTAGCCAATGAGCGTGTTTAGAGAGCCAATCGGGTGTCATCTTGTTTTGGCCATGAGCCAATCAGATCACAGTAGGATCCAGTGATTGATGTACTATATTGAAGCTGAGAGGAGGACATTGGTCAGTGTGTTATGTGATGGCTATCAAGTTGGTTGTGGTTTTTTTTGTGTTCTTTCCTTGAGTGAACTTGTAAAACGTAGTAAAATTAAAGGAATGGTGCAAAGAGTTGACTGGTCATTCAGAAAGCGATGTAAAATAGTATTATTAAGTGAACGAGGCTACAAAGAAATTAGAAGAAAAAATAGTGGAAACTTAACCAAAGGTATTTCTAGTGTACACTTTTCCCAAAAGGTTTCCACAATTTTGGCCACAACTGTAGGTAATATCATCAGTGCGAGAAGGGAGGGGGGTTTGGGGAGAGGAGGAGGGGGGGGCTGCGGGGTCCTTGTTGCTCTCTGAACTTTGTGGTTTTCTTGCAGGGGTTTCATTGCTCAGTGCACTGATGATGTTCTCCAGTGCATTGAGTGCTACCTAATTGGGTCAGTTCAGTGAACACCAAGGACTCCACAATCCTCCTCCTCCTCCTCCTCCTCCTCCCATGTCTGCAAGGAAACCACCAAGCTCAGAAAGCACCAAATGATAGATGATAGATAGATAGATAGATAGATAGATAGATAGATAGGAGAGAAAGGTAGATAGATAAGAGAGAAAGGTAGATAGATAGATAGATAGATAGATAGAGAAGATAGATAGATAGATAGATAGATGATAGATGTTAGATAGATTGATAGATAGGTGATAGATAAGATAGATAGATAGATAGATAGATAGATAGATAGATAGATAGGAGAGAAAGGTAGATAGATAAGAGAGAAAGGTAGATAGATAGATAGATAGATAGATAGATAGATAGATAGATAGAGAAGATAGATAGATAGATAGATAGATAGATAGATAGATGATAGATGTTAGATTGATAGATAGGTGATAGATAAGATAGATAGATAGATAGATAGATAGATAGATGATAAGAGAGAAAGTAGATAGATAGATGATAAGAGAGAAAAGTAGATAGATAGATAGATAGATAGATAGATAGATGATAAGAGAAAGGTAGATAGATAGATAGATAGATAGATGATAAGAGAAAGGTAGATAGATAGATAGATAGATAGATAGATAGATAGATAGATAGATAGATAAGATAAGATAGGTGATAGGTTAGATTGATAGGTGATAGATGAGATAGTAGGTAGGTAGGTTGGTAGATAGATAGATAGATAGATAGATAGATAGATAGATAGATAGATAGATAGATAGGTGGTAGATGCTAGATAGATTGATAAATAGGTGATAGAGGAGATAGGTGATAGATAGGTGATAGATTGTTAGATAGATAGAGAAGATAGATAGATAGATAGATAGATGATAGGTGATAGATGCTAGATAGATTGATAGATAGTTGATAGACAGACAGACAGAGATCCCCCCCTTGATCCCTCCACCCAGACAGTGTCTCCCCAACAGCCCTGTGGGAAGACCCAGCTGGACTAGACAGGGCAGGGGCCCGATCCAGTTGGCCCCAGCGGGTGTTCTTATGGCTGTGGGGAAAATAGAAGGAGGAAGGACCATCAGATATGTCCACCAGTTCCTTATAGAAACCATAAAGGCAGGAGTTAAACAAAGGCACCAGCAACTGACCATGGGCTCTCCGAGGGCGCTCCATTAGGACGAACGCAACCCGCTTCCCATCGTGCCAAGTGGATGCCCGGGCATCCAGGGGTCTACGTCAGTCTCCGCTCTGCTTCACTGCACCGGCTTTTCTAGTTGCCAAGCAACAGAAACTCCAGAATTCCATGTTCCACATCCTGGAATTGGCCATAACTCCGAGAGATGCAGAATGTGGCATAGCTTGGCATATGTCCACGCACATTTCTGCCGCATCAAGGGGGAATTTTCATTTGAAAATCAAGCTTTGGGGGAGAACAGATTGCATGGCGAAGGGGCAGCCATATTGAATGAATGAATGAGTTAGGTGGGCGAATGAATGAATGAATGAATGAGTGAATGAATGAATGGAGTTAGGTGGGTAGGTGAGAAAATGAATGAATGAATGAATGAGTGAGTGAATGAATGCATGGAGTTAGGTGGGTAGGTGAGTAAGTGAATGAATGAATGAATGAATGAATGGATGGATTAAGGTGGGCGGGTGAGTGAGTGAACGAACGAATGAATGAATGAATGGACTAAGGTGGGCGGGTGAGAGAGTGAACAAATGAACGAACGAATGAATGGAGTTCGGTGGGCAGGTGAGTGAGTGAATGAACGAATGAATGAATGGAGTAAGGGGGGGTGAGTGAGTGAGTGAACAAATGAACAAATGAATGAATGAATGAATGAAGAGTTAGGTGGCTGAGTGAGTGAATGAACGAATAAATGAATGAAATTGGGTGGGTGAGTGAACGAATGAATGAATGATGAGTTAGGTGGGCGGGTGAGTGAATGAACGAATAAATGAATGAGAAGTTAGGTGGGTGAAAAGTGAATGAATGAACGAATCAACGAACAAACGGAGTTAGGTGGGCAAGTGAGTAAGTGAATGAACGAGTGGTTTGTTGATTGACTCATTCATTCATTCTTTCTTTCTACCTTTTATCCAAACATAGATGGATTTTATTTGAGAGAGAGGGACTTCATGCATTCAGAAAACGTAGTTACAGTAATTTGGTTTCTTTTTTCTTCCAATACGTCGTGTCTAATTCTTGGAGATTGCCTGGATAACTCCCTGGAGTTTTCTTGGTAAGGTTTTTCAGAAGTGGTTTGCCACTGCCTTCTTCTTAGGGCTGAGAAAAAGTGGCTGGCCCAAAGTCACCCAGCTGATGTTGTGCCTAGGGTCTTCTTCTGTGTGTTGTTTGAACCCCGCCACTCTCAAATCAGCAGTGCTCTTTAACCACTTTAATCAAAGAATAGTTCTGGTCCTGCCTTAGGCATGGAAGGCAGCTGGGAGACTTTAGGCCAATCACCAGGAGACGGTGAATTCTAGTTCCGATTTAGGCATGGAAGCCAGCTGGGTGACTTTCGGCCAATCACCAGGAGACGGTGAGTTCTAGTCCCGATTTAGGCATGGAAGCCAGCTGGGTGACTTTCGACCAATCACCAGGAGACGATGAGTTCTAGTCCCGATTTAGGCATGGAAGCCAGCTGGGTGACTTTTGGCCAATCACCAGGAGATGGTGAATTCTAGTCCCGATTTAGGCACGGAAGCCAGCTGGGTGACTTTTGGCCAATCACCAGGAGACGGTGAGTTCTAGTCCCGATTTAGGCATGGAAGCCAGCTGGGTGACTTTCGGCCAGTCACCAGGAGACGGTGAGTTCTAGTTCTGATTTAGACATGGAAGCTAGCTGGGTGACTTTCGACCAGTCACCAGGAGATGGTGAGTTCTAGTCCCGATTTAGACATGGAAGCCAGCTGGGTGACTTTCGGCCAATCACCAGGAGGTGGTGAGTTCTAGTCCCGATTTAGACATGGAAGCCAGCTGGGTGACTTTCGGCCAATCACCAGGAGGTGGTGAGTTCTAGTCCCGATTTAGGCATGGAAGCCAGCTGGGTGACTTTCGGCCAGTCACCAGGAGACGGTGAGTTCTAGTCCCGATTTAGGCATGGAAGCCAGCTGGGTGACTTTCGGCCAAT